GAGTAGCTAAGAGGATGAACCAAAAATTAAACGAGAGGGCTAAAAGCATGAGGCTGCATGCAGATTTACCAAATATGTTTTTGGATAGATTTGGTCAACACAACTGCAAATTTAATAACCAGAGGACCCTCACTCCCAATAGTGTTCAGGATTCCAAAAGAGGAATGGCAAGGTCGGGAGATTTCTCTCAAACACTTGAAGGTATTTGGTTGTGTCTCGTATGTCAAAGTTAAAGACTCGGAGAGTGACAAGCTAGAGACAAGGAAATGCACCTTTTAGGTTATGGTTTGGAGGACATAGGATACTGCTTCTGTGATAACGAGAATAAGAAGGTTATTATAAGTCGGGATGTTGTGTTCAACGAGAATTCTCTATACAAGGATGAACTTGCAAAGAGCTTCGATAGTGTCAAGCAATCAGAAAAGAAAGATCAAGTTGAGTTTGAAGAAATCTCAGATGATGACATTGTAAAACCTATCAGTAATCCAGAAATAAGTGAAGTTCACGAAGCAATGGGAGCTCCGATGTATCTGGAGATAATGGGAGCACAACGGATAATAGTTCATAGGATGAGGTTGCAGATGATGCATAAATCAAAACTCCTATTGTTTGTACATCCACCAGAGTATGAAGACCTGCAGTCAAGTATTCTCCTTTAGCTAATTACTTGTTGCTAACTGAGAATGTTGAACCTGAGTCTTATCTTGAGGCTTTGAGGATGAAAGATTCCATACAGTGGAAGAAGGCTATGGAAGAAGAGTTGAGCTCACTTGACAAGGACTATACTTAGTCCTTGGTCAAGCTCCCAACAGGGAAGAAAGTACTACAAAACAAATGGGTATTTCGGGTCAAAGATGAGATTGATGACACCAAACAATACAAGGCAAGGTTGGTGGTCAAGGGGTTCCAATAGAAGAGAGGAATTGATTACAATTAGATCTTTTCTCTAGTTGTAAAGATGACTACAATCAGAATGGTATTGGGTATTATAGCATCTGAAGATCTCCATATAGAGCAACTAGATGTGAAAACAACTTTTCAACATGACGACTTGGAAGAAGAAATATACATGGTACAACCAGAGGGTTTTCCCACAATCGGTAAGGAAAATATGGTGTGTAAACTGAAGAAAAGTCTATATGGATTGAAGCAAACTCCAAGACAGTGATAATTGAATTTTGATAGCTTCGTGCAAAGGAGTGGGTATCAAAGATGTGAATAGATCATTGTTGTTACTTGAAGAAATTCAAATCCTCATACATTATCATGTTATTGTATGTTGATGAGATGTTGATTGTTTGGATCCGACATGTAGGAGATCAACAAGCTTAAGAAGAAGTTGTCCAAGGAGTTTGAGATGAATGACCTAAGGGATGCTAAGCAAATTTTAGGCATAAACATAACCAAGAATAAAGTTACAGATATACTAAAACTTTCACAAGCTAAGTACATCAAGAAAGTTTTAGAAAAGTTTAGTATGGCAGATGCTAAGGCCAGAAGTACACCTTCTTGAAGTCAGTTGAGACTCTCAAAGAAGTAATCCCCAAAGATTGAAGAAGACAAAGAACAGGTGACTAAATTTTCATATGCATTTACGGTTGGTAGCTTGATGTATGTTATGGTATGTACCATACCAGATATTGTTCATGAAGTGGGAGTTGTGAGTAGGTTGATGTCAAATCCAGGAAGAGATCATTAGGAGGGAGTAAAGTGGCTATTACGCTAATATAAAGGAACGTTGGGAGGTGACTAAATTTTCATATGCATTTGCGGTTGGTAGCTTGATGTATGTTATGGTATGCACCATACCAAATATTGTTCATGAAGTGGGAGTTGTGAGTAGGTTCATGTCAAATCCAGGAAGAGATCATTGGTAGGGAGTAAAGTGGTTGTTACTCTACTATAAAGGAACATATAAGGTTGCCTAGAAGAAAGGAGGTGGTCTTAGAAGGGTTTGCCGATGCAGATTTCGGAGGATGTATGGATTCGGGTTAAAGCACGACGAGGTATATGTTCATGATCGGAGGTAGGACAATAAGTTGGATGTCTAGGTTACAAAATAGTGTTACTCTGTCGACCATAGAAGCAGAGTATATGGCCATTGTAGAAGCATCCAAAGAGCTTATATGGTTGAAGAACTTTCTATCAAAACTTGGACTACAGCAGGAGGGTTCTGTACTACATTGTAACAACCAGAGTGCAGTTTACCTAACAAATAATCCAGTGTTTCATAGTAGAACGAAATACATTCAGATAAGATACAAGTTCATTCTAGAGTTACTTTATGATGGAACTCTAAATCTGAAGAAAATCCTTGGAACAAAGAATCCAATAGATATGTTCACTAAGGTTGTTACCACTGAGAAGTTGAAGCTTTGTATGGATTAACTGGCCTTCCAAAAGTTTGAGGAAAGGAGGCATGATAGAAAATGAGTGAGTGATATATATATATATATATATATATATATATATATAGAGAGAGAGAGAGAGAGAGAGAGTGTGTGTGTGTGTGTGTGTGTGCATGTGTGTGTGTATTGCAACAGTTGGATGGCAGAGAAAACATGAATTGTTCAGCCACCAAGTGAGAAATTGTTAGGTTGAGTAGTGGCCGACCAAAGAAGTATCGGCTAAAAATTGTGGCAGAAAATATGGGCAAAAGTTGGTAAGAAAGAAAATTTGGCTTTAATGTCAAATGTTGAAATTTTCGGGAAAGAAAAAGTGGTGCACCGATCTTTGCCTTTGATTACGACGATAATATATATATATATTACTTTCTTCTATATAAAAGGAAGGACACACACAACAACACATATACAACATATTCAAGGCGAGCCTAAGGCATGTTCAAAGTGTGCCTTTGAACAGGGTCCACTGAAATCTAAGGGCCCAAATATTCCTTTCAGCTTAGGTTATGTATCAGGTGGAAAAATGGAACGATGCAAGGGAGAAAATAAGCGGGAATCAGAAGTTTTTCGGGAAGAAAATGACGCTTAGGTTCCTTCAATCTCGGTGATAGTGATTATGATTTAAGTATGAAGAACAAGTTAATGATGCCATCGATTGAGTGAATCACCGTCGAGCTCCTTGGCAACGGTTTCCTTCTTTCATTATTTGCTTGAAATCAGAAAAATCATTCAAATGAAAACCTTCAATCTTCGAACATCTGAAACATTTCAGACCCATTGAGTTCTTACTTCTTTATTTCATAAATCTTCCAAATGATAAGGAAAAAAAAAATCCTTCAATCATCGGTAGGAAGAAGCTGAAAATTAGAATTCAATACTCAGTTTCTTATGGACAAAAATCAAATGGTACTATACATTTTTTTTATCTATCTGATACATATTTTGTATTGTAATAATTTATGTTTTTTTTCTTGAATTCATATTTTTTCTTGAATTTTTTTTTCTTGAGTTCATATTTGTTTCAAAAGAAGAAATCAGAATTTGAAACTAAAGGAAATCAGACTTCCAAAAGCAAAATCTATCAATCCATATTTTTTTTACTAAATTTATGTTCCTGTTTTCTTCAATTCAGAAACAATATCTATCGGTCCAATTTTAAGGGTTCGAAGATTTTTATGCTGACTTGTTTGAAGTGTTGAAAATCAAAAGATAAATTTCTGATTTCCATTTTTTTTTATTAGAAGCAAATGAGACTTTCACTCTACAGATTGTGTAATATTGCATTCTAATTGCCCATTTTTTCTTTACAGATTGTGTAATATAGCATTCTAATTGCCCATTTTTTCTTTATGATTCATTTTTTGTTACAGATTTATAGACTACATAAATGTTAAAACTTGCTTAAATATTAGAATGATATTATCGAAAAGTTGAGTAATATTAGAAAGATGGTTGTTTCAAGTAGAAGGAAAAAAAGTATGCATTATTTTGAAACAAATTGTAATTTATGTATTTTTTCTAATAAAATATGAAATAGTATAATTGTTTTGCTTAAATTTTTATATATTTCAAATTTTAAAGCATATTTTTGGTTAAGTTGCACAGGATCTCTAAAATCTCGCAGCTGGCCCTGAACATAGTGCAACACAAAATATTACATTAGATAGAAAATAGTTTTGTGAGGTATTAATTTTGTGCATAGCCTTATTTTTGGCAATCAAAATACGAGTGATCACTTAAATTGAGTGATCAGATGACAAGTGTAGTGTTAACTTTGTATGATTGTAATATTTCTTTGGTGTTAAATAAAATCATATCTCTCTCGTTCGCCCGTGGATATAGGTCAGATTAGACCGAACCATGTTAAATATCGTGTTCAGTTTCGTTTGCAATTTTTTATTAATTTTATTCCGCGTTTGTTATCGAAAACATTTATCGTTTTTGTCCGAAGTGCTTAACTTGCTTTGTTGCATTATCAACAAGGATTTGAATAATTGAGAATCGAGACAAATGAATAGAAGATAAATGCGACGTTTCAGTTTTCAAGATCACACCGATGTATCGCATGCGTTTCAAGATCAGACAATTAGTAACAAACTAATTAAGATTTGAAATATATTAGTATTGTATTAGTTTGGAGAATATGAGGTCCTTTAGAATAAAGGACATTAAGCTCTAGCTTAGCAAACTATAAAGTTGAGCCGCCCCTAGACCCTCAGAAAAAAGACCAGACCATTTTAAAACCAATCTAAAGAAACCAAACTCTTTCGAGATAGGCCCGAGACCGGTCCGACACCACCAATGTGCAACTCTACTTCGAGCTTTGATATCGATTTCTTTTGCGGAAACGTATTTGTGGAATGGAACAGAACAAGAAATTCCTCCAAAATGCCATCGATTAATTTTTTCTCTTTCTTTCTTCTTTAAAGAAAGCTTAATGAAAATACAAGAAATAAACTGGAATGAATCCATAACCACATAGTTAGGTAATCACCAACAAATTACGCCTCCTATCGATTATGGCCTATGGGTGGTCAAAGTCAATTTGACTTTCCCTTATTTACATTTTAAGCCACTAGAGTCACAGAACCTACACTAGATTTGGAATGGCTTGCCAGATGCAGTGGCAGATACGATAGGACTTCGAACGACATGGGTTCCATTCACCTCCTGCCAGCTTAGATACCCTGAATTCCCATAATACCCAGCATACGTCGGAGGAGCATGAGTTATGTCAACGTCGACAGTGATCTCAAACTTGGCCGTACTGTATCTTCCTTCAAAAGAGATCGTTGCAGGCTTTACAACAACATTCATACCCGAAGGAGGAGTCTCTAGCATCGCTCGATATGTAGACCTTGATTTCCCCACATTCGTTAACACCCTTTGAAAGGTTACTCGAGTGGTGTTGGTATTGTTTAAGATGAGCATGAACGAAGGGTAATTAAGATCAAGGGTTGCATTTTCACAACTAACATCCGATCTCCTTGAAATGACTCGGATTTCGTTTCTTGTGTAGTTCAGTGCACAGAGATAGTTGATGTAGTCTTCTGGCTGTATGTCGTAAACCAAGCCAGGATCCATAGCTTTGTTTGGGTTAACATGTCCTGCACCATAATCTAAAGGGGTACCTTGTAATCCAGTGGTCATGTCCATGATTACGCTTTTGTTATTGTCGAGAGTATAGGCAGTTGTCATCATCGCAGATCGGATTGCAGCCGGGCTCCAGTCACGATGGACTGATTTTAGTAACGCAGCTATGCCTACTACATGAGGAGAAGCCATGGATGTGCCAGATTCAAGCTTATAATCGCTGAGCAGGTAATCATCTCCAATTGGTGCACTTTCTCTATTCGGAGCCCATGCAGCCAAGATATCGACTCCAGGAGCTAGGAGATCGGGTTTCAGTATCCATGGAGATCTCAGGTCGGGTCCTCTTGATGAGAAGTATGCAACCTGAGGAGATGGCTTTACACCTAACAAAGTTTCACCGTATTTAACGCTAACAGTTGCGTTGGCTGTGTTAATTATGTACCTCTTTAGTAAGTCTCCGATCTTCGGCTCCAATAAAAGGTAGGGAAAATCGAAGTCTCTTGGCCGGAGAAAGTTTCCGAAGTCTGAACTAAAGATAACTCCGAGAGCTCCATAGGTTTTAAATTCATCGAATGACATTCCATCAGATTCACAGAAAATGTACTTGCCTTTAACATCTTTGGGATCAATAGAATCATAATCACAAGTTTCTTTGCTTCTGTTCCCATGTCCAAAGTAGATAGAAACTCTCTCTACCAAAAGATTTAATGGAGAAACTGACTTTCCTACTAGGGTTCCATATTTCTCATCACCTGTTGTCACATATGCAGCGAAATCACGATCTATGGTTCCTGCACCAATAGTGGTGATCCACGGAGCTCCATTCAATATCGTGTAATGATGAGGGCCAGCATTACCAGCTGAACAAGATACAAAGATCCCTTTTTCCATAGCTGCAAATGCTCCAATTGCAATAGGGTTTTGGAAAAATGGCGTCTCAATGAACCCTAACGACAACGACATTAGATCCACACCATCTTCTATTGCTTGATCCATTCCTGCTAGTGTGTCACTTTCTGCAGCTTCATACGATTCGTTCAAGAACAACACTTTGTACATCGCTAACCGAGCTTTTGGCGCTATTCCAGTGGCTGTTCCCTTCGCATATCCGAAATAATCAGCAAACTGCACACGACTACCAGTCGCGGTTGAAGATGTGTGTGTTCCATGTCCCTCGTAATCTCTAGGAGAATCATAATCATCTGTTGATGAAATGTTCTCTCTTCGACGCTTCATCCCCTGACTAAATGAACGTGCACCAATAATCTTTCTATTACAGAAATTTTCAGTTTCACAAGTTCCACGCCAGCGAGATGGTACCTCCGACATGCCTTTGTCATGAAAACTCTCACTTTCCGGCCAAATTCCGGTGTCAAGTATGCCAATAACCATATCTTCACCGAACCCAGAAACCGGCCATAGTCCAGCAGCATGTTTCTTTAGTCCCAAAAACTTAGGCGTGTGTGTTGTGTGAAGCTGTCCAAGTTTCTCCTCAAACGTCGCAACATGACCAGGCATCTTCTCAAGTTGCGCGAGTTGGGACTTGGTCAGAACTGCACTGAACCCATCCATGACGTGGTTATATGTGTATACATGCATCGTTGGAGCTTCATCTGAAAGGGATGAAAGTACGGAAGTGTACCAGTTATGGTGACTAGTGAAGGGTGATGGCATCATAGACTTGTCCATGTGAACAATGTAAGTTTGATAATCATCTAATGAAGAAGATGACTTCATTGATATGAATATGAACGTGCAAATGAAAGAGACAAATCGAAGATCTATAGATTGTGCCATTTTGGTGGAATATGTTCCAAAGTGACATAGAGATCTCACATATATATAGCTTACATTATTAATTCAGACAAAGATACTATCAGCCGAATGGATATATATTGTTTCAGGAAATGCCTAATGCTAGCAGCCATGGGTTAAAGATAGTCTTTTTCTAACATTACTTGAACGCCGGCATAGTTGCTGCGAGCATAAGTAACAAGGAAGTGGCGACCATAACTATGCTTGAAATTTGAATCTATGTGTATGATAACTTGGGTTCTGGAGATGCAAGTGATCATATCAAGAAACCACTGAAATTATATCCCACAAAATTGATGAAAACGAAAACGTCACGATCATTTGAAGGATGAAGGGTCCCCTTAATTACCCAAGGCCATTTTTGCCTTTTAAGTTATAAATATGATGTTCCTTTGGTTCACTAAACACTAAAGTACATAACTTTAATCGGGATAACATGAAACCCAACCATTGTATTGACAAGTATATATGTTAAAGCAATACCAGGCGTAAGATTCAAAATCAACAACTATGAATTCTTAATTATAAATATGTATAACAGTTATATGTTGTTCAAGTAAATCCGAACACTAGCTACCATAGATATGGTTTTTAGGAACAGACGCTTTTCACCCACGATAGGTTGTGGTCACTATATGTCGCTCTAATTAATATCCTAAAGCGTTTTCTAAAACAATTTAAAAGGGAAATTGAATAAACTAATAAGTATTTGTTAAGCATTATTATTTTGTGAATGATTATTGAATTTCCCATATTGCCATATTCTCCGTCATTATTTATAATTAGTGAGCATTACAATAAATATTATGAGTTTTATAAGTGTACTTGAGCATTCATAACATACATCACCTTTGATCACCTTATAGTATAAATAGTGAGTGTTATTTATTGTAAAGTTTTGATGATTTCATCACAAGTATTGGAATAAAAGTTCTCTTCATTCTGATATCTTTCTTTACTCTATAATTTATCTTGTTATTTTATCATATTTTATAACAAATTATCAGTACGATTATACCATAAAGCTCTAATTCTTTCTCGCTCTTATTATTTTCAGGTATGTATTTTTATAAGTCCACGTCTACAACGATCACAAATTATTTTATGAAATTTCTTAACTAACAATTCCTTAATATACAAGTCTTTATATTGATTAGTATTTTCACTATGGAAAACTATGTTATACTAGAGAAAACTTTCTCTACTTTCCATTCGACCAACATGCTCCTGCATCAACAATATCGTAAGAAAGGTTTAAAAAACTTTGAATTAATCTCATATCTTCTTGTGGCTAAACAAAACAATGAGTTATTGATGAAAAATCAACAATCAATCCTGATTGGTTTTAGTCTATTCTCTGAAGTGAATGCAACATCATATAACCATAATACTCATGGGTTTAATCAAGGTCATGGAGGTTGTCATAATTATCATAAAAATAATAAGATTACAAGTAACCACCAGAAGTTGAAAAATATCAAAAATCCACATCCTAATTATAAAATTGGTCAATGCAAAAAGAATGTTGAAAATATTTATCACCGATGTGGAATGACCGGTCATTGGTCATGTACACTTACCAAAGCATTTTATAGATCTTTATCAAACTTCTCTAAAATCTAAAGAAAAATAAAATATCAAAACAAATTTTATTCAAAATGATTTTCATGAAGATCGACCATAAATGACACATTTGGATGTTGTCGATTTTCTTGTCTACCTAGAAGAGACAAGTGATACTATGGATGGTGATTGAATATATCTTATTTCTTATTTATTATTATTATTATTATTATTATTATTATTATTATTATTATTATTATTATTATTATTATTCGCAAGAGAAATGATGAAGATATATGTCTTACAGACAGTGCAACAACAGATAACATTTTTAATAATGAAAAATATTTTGTTTACGTATCAATTGGAGAAGAAAATACTAATACAATAACGGATTGTGCAAAAATGATTGAAAGCTCTGGAAGAGCAATATCATATTACCATAAGGGACAATAATTATAATTGGTAATGTATTATTTTCACTAAAATCACCAAGAAGTTTATTAAGTTTTAAGGATAGTCAGTCCAACGGATATCATGTGGAAACAACTAATGATAGTGATAAATAGTATCTCAATATTATAAAAATGATATCAGGTAAGAAAAGACTTTTGGAAAAATTACCTATATTGTTCTCCAGATTGTATTATACAAATATTAGAATGATTGAATCTTATGTTATTGAAAATAAAAAGTATGACAACACCTTAAAAGTTTGGCATGATGGGTTGGGTCATCCCAGATCAATTATGATACGCAAAATAATTAAAACTTCAAGTGGTCATTCCTTGAAAACCCAAAAGATTTTACAAGCTAATGAATTGTCTTGTGTTGCATGTTCTCAAGAAAAATTAATTCATCCACCATTGGTATGAAAGTCCTAGTTTCGTAGAAATAATTCAAGGGAATATGTGGACCAATTCATCCACCATGTGGACCATGTAAATATTTTATGGTTTTAATTGACGTGTCAACTAGATGGTCATATGTTTGCTTGTTATGTAGTTGTAATCTCGCTTTCACAATATTACTTGCACAAATAAACTACCCAAGGGCACATTTCCCGATTACCCAATTAAGAAAATTCGACTTGACAATGTTGGAGAATTTACATAACAAGCTTTTAATGAATATTGCATGTAAATTTGGATAACTATGGAACATCTTGGTGCATATGTTCATATGGAAAACTGTCTAGCTGTGTTGTTACTAAACGCCTTCGGTTAATTACAAAACCATTAATAATGCATTATAAACTTCCTAATCGACATTAGGGCATGCAATTTTACATGCAACATCACTTATACGAACCGTTAACTAGAGATTTATTTACAGCTAGATTTGACGATTTTTATTTTGAGAATCGATTTTTCCAACATTAGAGATAGAAATAAAGAAGTTGGAAAATAAAATCTCTTATAATGAATTATCACTCTTATTTTTAGATCCTCATTCAAGTTAATGTGAACTTGAGAAAGATAATTCATTTACAAAATATAGCATATCAGTTGCAAGATGCATTTACCGACCCTAAGTGAGTAACAAAGTCTTATGCACAAGCTATAAATGCTCTAATTAGAATTGATATGCCATACGGAAAAAATAAAACTACAAATGAATCTAAGACACACCTGAAGCGTGAAAGACCAACCGGTTCCAAAGATAAAAACCCTCGAAAAGGAAAGGGAGCAAATATAATTGATGATCCAAAAGAGAAACATAATCTCTTAAAAAGATTAATGAAACTCTAAAAGAGCCCAATGACACAACAAAAGAAACTAAGGTACCTGAAAAAAAATGAAAATGAAGATATCTCAATAAATTATGTCATGACATGAATACGATGGAACCGAAATAAGACAGACATCAACATTAATTTTTCATATCATCTTCCGCGCGAGATTATGATGAAAATGAGGATCTTGAACCTATATCTATTGAGAAATGTTGGAATAGAATATATTGGCCAAAATAGAAAGATGAAATAAATAAAGAGCTTAATCACGTTACTCAACAAAATGTTTTTGGACCTATAGTCCGTACACTAAACGAAGTAAGACCCGTGGGATACAAATGGGTATTTGTGCGCAAATGAAAAGTGAAAAATGAAGTGAGATATAAAGTAAGACTTGTTGCACAAGGTTTTACCCGAAGTCCGAAATTGATTATGAAGAAATGTACTCTTCGATAGTTTATGCAATTACATTCAGTTATTTTATAAGTTTGGCAGCATATGCAAAACTCAACACTCAATTTTACATAATATTTCACAATTTTATTCATTACAAAACACGATTTTAAAACGTGTATGTTACAAATACCTCCTCCTTTTGAGCATTTCATCCCCAAAGTTACATCGATTAAAATAAATGGGGATATTTTGCTTTTATCTCATTCTTATTCTCCCAAGTATAGTTTGGGCCACGATGGTGTTTCCACTTGACAAACACCAATTCTACTTCTTTATTGCGTAGCTTAGTTGTTCTTTCATTCACGATTTCTTCAGGCTCTTCTACATATCTTAACTTATTATCCAATTTCACTTCGGATAATGGAACTGTCTCATTGTAGATGCTCATGCATTTGCGCAAATAGCTTACATGAAACACATCATGAATACCTGCCAAATCTTTAGGCAATTCTAAGCGGTATGCTTGCTTTCCAATTCTCTGGATGATTTTGAAAGGTCTAACAAATCTAGGACTCAACTTTCCTTTCTTCCCAAATCACATAAGACCTTTCCATGGGGATACCTTCAGCATCACGAAATCACCCACTTGAAATTCTATAGGTCGTCTTCTCTTTTCCGTATAGGACTTCTGTCGATCCTGGGCCGCTTTCATTCTTTCTCGTACGATTTGAATCTTGTCAGTAGTGTCTTGAATCATTTCGGGGCCTCCAAGGATCTTCTGTCTTACATCACGCCAACATAATGGCGTACGACATTTGCGACCATATAATGCTTCATATGGTGGCATTTTGATTGAAGTGTGGTAACTGTTATTATACGAAAATTTGACAAGCGGTAAGTATTTATCCCAGTTACCACCGAACTCCAAAACACATGCACGAAGCCTATCTTCTACTGTCTGGATTGTTCTCTCTGTCTGACCATCTGTCTGAGGATGATAAGCGGTACTGAGAGCAACTCGAGATCCCAATTCGCGTTGCATACTCGCCCAAAAGTGAGAAGTGAAGCGAGTATCGCAATCGGAAATGATCTTTAGTGGCACACCATGTCTTGCAATAATTTCATCCAAGTATACCTGTGCGTATTTCTCCATTGGAGCCGTTTCACGCATAGCGAGAAAATGTGCACTCTTAGTCAGACGGTCGACGATTACCCAAATGCTATCATT